TATGTGGGTTATTAATGACGCATCATCTCACTCTGCTGACAAAATGGAATTTGGTATTAAATATTACATTCGTTGGATCTACGGACAACCGCATTACAGTTAATAGACGAACGTATAGAATATGGCGAGAAATTTCAAAGTTTTAATCACCACTTCTTTCCGACCTGCTATTCATTTTCCCCATTATATTTGAAGTCTAACGGTTTCAGGACAGTTTACTACAATCACGTGATCTTGAATGTCATTCAATTGTTAGCGCCCATATTCCGTTACATATATATATAGAGAGAGAGAAAGAATAAACCACAGAGAAAAAAAAACAGGCAGAAACGACACTGAATTTTCTTTAATTCATTCTGTATCACAGTCGTTCGGCTTTCACTGCTGCCCTCTGGCTTTAAGAGATGAATTATTACATTCTAATCCATTTCTTATTAAAATTCCTTCCTAAAATTTCAGAAATGTCTCTTTCCAGCTGCATTAATCCCTTGTCGTGGGGAGAATCAGGTGTTAGCAGTATATCCAAGTCTTAGCGTTTACATAGCATTTTATTTTATTTATTGTTATTGGCTGGAATAATGACAGCAGCGGTCAACAATTACAGCAAATAAAATTTTAAAGAGACACAAAAGCTCGGAGCCATTTTTATAAGCCCCCAACCCCCTCCCTCTTCAGGCCAAGTAATAATTTGATTACAACAAACTGAGAGACAGTTACATTCACTGACATCTCAGACACTGACACCTACCAACTTCCTATACGGGGACTGAATAAACTGAGGGGTATTCAAATTTAAAATTTATTCAAGGGGCTTCATAATGTGGGATTCTCGGTTTTCTGGCGGTTGTGTAAATACAACACTGAAGCCAGCGTGCAGAAAAAAATGGTTCATGATTAAAATGTAACAACACAAAAAATTCTAAATATTGCATCACCACAGTTGCTTTTTATTTGTTTGTTTTGACAAGCATTGTCTTGGTGTAGGATGCTGGCCTCACACACTTTATTTGTGTAAAACTACTCGACACACTTCAATCAGTATAAATTCAAAGCGCCATTTTTCCAGATAACTGAATCGAGAGGCCTGTTCAAATGTAACTCGACGTGTGGTCAACGTTCATCGTTGCTTACTACTTGCTAATATGTTAATCTAAAAGAACAGTCTGCGTTTTATAGCTTTTAACACTATTGTTGTTGTTAACAATGCATATTAATTTCAATGGCAAATAGTTTAGCGTTGTATTCCATCAGATTTATTAAATGAATTTAGATGAGCTGTAGAGTTACTGTTTGAACATTATTGTTGTTTTAGTCGTCTGTTCCGCTGAATAGGCAAATCTTCGTAACTTAACGTCTTTTCCTGTAACTAAAATTAAAAAATGAAAACAGAAAGGAAAAATAAGTCAAACTGTGAATATACGTATCGAATTTCCATATTATTCTATTTTCCAAGATAATCAGACTGTCCGCATTAGTGGAGCGAGAGCAAGTGCAAGGCAAAGGTTGGATTTGGGTTCAGGGAGTGTCCGTGGCCCCAGCGCCACATCCCCCACCTCTTACTCTGCCCCTCCACACTCTGAGGGCCAAACAAGCCTTCAGTATTTCTCTTCTGATTAGTGATTAGTATCTTAAAAATATGCTTTTCTGTCCACCTTTCAATATAATGTCATATGTATTCCTACATGATAAGCTGTTCCAAACAAAGATGCAGACACACGAAAAAAGGTTTTGATTTTTTTAATGATTCAAATGTGTCGAGTGGCCGCAAATGAATGAAATTCGCTGCACCAACAACAAATAAGCTAAACGAAAGCAACTGTGTTGCTGTGATATATTTTATACATTATTATACATTTAAATGATCAAGCTTTTTTTCAGTGTGCTGACCATAAGAAAACTGAACTGAACACTTAATGTGTACATCTGTTAAAGAGCACTGCGGCGGGAAATATGGAGAAAAGGCACCGAGTCGAGCCGCTTAAAAAAGGGTTTCTTAAAGAGCGTGAAGAGATCATCGGCTAGTGTTACCTTCCGGCTAATAACAGACCAGATTTCAAAACCTGCTATCAACATTTTCTCTATTGTTTCTTAAACATAACATTCACGAAAAATCGGAAGCAATTAATCAATAAACCAGACGGATTTACGTTGTCTAAAATGTCTAAAAAGATGAAAAAGAAAAATACATCCATCTTTCTGGGGGATGTTATGGGCTATTTCTCGATGTTTATGCACGCGCTATAGGTTTAATCAGGCCACATGGTGTTTTTTTCGCATTAATGCTCGTCTATTATTTAAATAGTTTATTATTTAAAGACACGCTGTAAGAGTAAAAAAAGTTCTACATAGTACTGAGTCTTTGACTGGTAACAATAGTGGAACCCGTTTTGTTTCTGGACAGAACCATTCTTTCGTGGTGTTCTTTAAAGACCCATATGCAGCTGTTTTCCTGTTTATAGAGAAGAACCAATTGGGCATGTACAAAATCATTTACCCATTCAAATGATTACAGAACCTTTGTCTTCACTAAATAACATATGAAGGACATTTTTAAGGAGGAATTGTGAGATGCATTATGTAATTAGTAATCTAGTTAACACTAGTTTACTCTGCATGCTTGTTGAGGTAAGCTTTGTAAAGGTGAAGGAAAATTTCTTCTATTTTTTTCGTGCGACTTGACAAAGTGGTCCAGACTGTAAGCTGACAAATAGAAATTACCATTCAAAAACAATGTTAAACTGCCTGAATGCAAATGCACTGAGAAATAATAGAAGCAACAGAAAAGCGGCGTATTCTTCATTGTATAGACGTGTACTTCATCCGGGGCACATGATGTTTGTAGGCTCCGTCCAAGTGATCCTGAACCCTCCCCCGAACTTGAAGTAGTCTGTAGAGCATGAGCTACACCCACACCCCAACGGGCCTGGCTCTCTCACTACACAAATTCTATATAAAAAGGCCATTATACGCTTTACACATGACTAGAACATCATTCATTTACACATACAGTCATCACAGCATTGCAGAATGAGGGCTGCTATTGTTCTGCAGCATGTTTGACCTGTAAAGGTTTAAAAGATTGCTATAAGGTGCTGTGCATCTTACCGGTGCGCAAGATCTGGACTGCTCTCTTCGCTCTCTTCACTCTCCCGTTACCCGTGACTTCAGGACTTCAGGTCTAATTGAAGTTCACGAAGTGCGAGTAAGTGGCGTCTCATGATCAGCCGAGGTTCGTCTGTGGCGACAATAGCTGGAGCAACTGGAGCGAGCTACAAAGACGCCCATAAAACCCTAGCCTGCATCTCAGACTGCCTTTAGTGCTCCTTTAGCACTCATTGAGGCTTTAGACACAATAACAGTAAATGGATTTGGCTGTTGTCTCTAAGATGAGACAGTGGATGGTGTGGAAGACGGTGCGGCAAAATGAGACTCATAATAGGACAGTCCGATTATTCATCCAGCTAAAACCCACCGGTTTGGAGAATTTGTCACCTCCTTTTTCCGGGGGTCGTGTTTAAGCAGTCCACATCCCTCCCCGTAGGCCTGGACGTCTGCGCGAGCACCCTAACAGCCGTCCTACGGAGGCCAATGTAATTTTAACAGGGCCACAGTCCAAGTTAAAACTTTATGGCCCTAAACCGTGTTTAGACCACTCGGATTCTTCACTGCAGCTTGAGGCCAGCTATTTTGCAGTTGTTAGCCTCCCGCACCACCTGAAACTCGGTCTTGTTAAAGGTATAACAAAGGGCTGCTTCAAAATGTCGGTTGCTTTCTCAGGTGAAATTGACCGGCCCTCAATAAAGCATTACCTATATAGCTTATACAGATTTAACTAATGCAGCCCTAGTGCAGGTTTAAAGAGTGGAACGCGTGCACTGAAAAAAATGCTTCATTATTAAAATGTGGTTGCGGACGGATATAATATACCACATCAACACAATTTCTTTACCTTTTCTTGATTGGGCAGTAATTGTGTTGATGTAATACGTTTTATTCATTTGCAACCACATTTGAACCCAGTGTGTTTTTTTCAGTGTAGCTGTAAGATTATCCACTTACATCTGCTTGATTATGTAGTCTTACTTAGCTGCATGTTCCTGGTTATGTAATGTTTTTCATTTAGCCTTTCCTGCTATTAATAGATGTGCGTGGAGGCGCAGCAAGATTTGTTTTTTGTTGTTTTTGTTCTGTTTTGCACACTGCAATGGAAAACACAGTTGCTGTCTTTCAGTTGGCTTTTTTTCTTTTTGGCAACATTTGTGTTGGTGTGTCACATTTTGCTCACATGTACATTCAAAACAGTATTTTTGTTTTAAAGGAACTCCGTAGAGGTCCACGGAATACTTTGAAATACACGGTAAGCCTAAACCCTAAACCCTTACAAAAACCCTTCAATAGAAGGCAAACAAACAAAAAACCCTTCTATAAAAATAATAAAACAAAACAAACAAAAAAGTTACACCACAACTAGTGAACATGAACCCCATGTGCATTTTCCCCCACTTAGCTTTTAAAACTACACCCCGACTGCCCCCCACCCCATACACATTCATACTCTGTTACGTTCTATAATAAATTGAGCTGGATTCATTAATTCGTATAATTAAGTCATAAAAATCATATACGAGGTTGTAGAACGGATTTAATGACAGAGCTTCCCTTTGAGCAAGTCCTGCGCTGTACAAGTAGTTGCGCACTACCAGCCAGGCTATTTAAACAGTAAATGAATAAATAAACACACAAATAAATAAATAAACAAGTAATAAATAATACACAACGTGATATACGATGATGTGCATTTGAAGAGATGGAGCAATTCCTCAAGCCTTCACGGACTGACTGGATTAGGACGAATCAACACAAATGATAGGCGGGGAATTGCAAATGAGAGAGACTCGTCCAGAACAGAGCAGTCCAGCGTAAATCAATAAAATGTTTCTTACTGCGCTACACTCGAACACTCACACAGCGCTGGCACACTGTGGCCCACTCTCAGAAGTAGATGTCAATTTCTGCCCACAGTCACATGACTGGCGCTCTCTGGAATGGATGGAGATGGATCTCCACGTCACCTCACGTCTCAAAATTTCTGCTCGGCGATTCAGCTCTTGAAACCCACTAGGGCTCAGCTCGGCACAACGATGTGAAAGCAGGGACTGCCCTCGTGGAGCGGCCAGACAGATGATGGATTATGATGAGAGGGTGCCCGTTGGGTCCAATATGTACTTGCCTAGCTGTACTTATTATGTTTCGGGAACGGATTTCTCCACCCTTCCTCCCTTTCTTCCCCAGACCCCGTCTTCTTGTCCCATGCCCTATTCGTACCCCTCGTCCAATCTGCCCCAGGTCCAGTCCGTGAGGGAGGTGACGTTCAGGGACTATGCCATTGACCCGTCCGGCAAGTGGCACCATCACCACCACCACCATCGGAGCAACAGCGTGCCTCACTGCTACGCGGCGGAGGACGTGGTGCACAGAGACTGCTTGCCCAACATGGGGGACATGTTCTCTAAAAGCAGCTCGCTGGTGCACCACTCGGGCTCCAGCCACCCGCCCGGCATCTACGGCAGCGTGGGACGGAACGGCGTGCTGCCCCAAGCCTTCGACCAGTTTTTCGAAACTGCCTACGGGAACGCAGAGAGCCAAAGCGCCGAGCACGCGGCCAACGGCGCCGCGAGCAAGGCGCCTCCAACGCCAGCCTCGGGGTCCCATCCCGGCCGCGAAGCGGAGGAGACGGAGCGCCGCGAGGAGACCAGCAGCCCGGAGTCGTCATCCGGTAACAACGAAGAAAAATACAACACCAACGCCAGTACGTAAGAAAAGAGCCCGAGCCGGCCACGAGAGAGCGAGAGAGAGAGATTGTTTCCAATCTCGCGCGCCGCCGTTAAAGGTTTTATATGCTGTTTTATAAGCATATAAGGTTTATGGAGGGCCTGTAGATTTACCCCAACAAAACTTTGTTATAAACGCGAGATCACGTGTCTAAGGTTGAAATTGGCCGTGAATGATAGGGCATTTCCTCCCGAAAGACTTTGAAGTCTTCCTTTGCAGTTGGATTATGTAAAAATAGCAGCGGCTAACGGAGCTAATGCAGCTCGAAGCACGGCTGTAGTTAAGGTTCAGATTTGCTAGGTGGTGAGATCTTTTGCTTTGATCGTCTATCACATTTGCGATTCGTTTTGCAGGATTCTCACTACATTTAGCGCGCAGTTTCAGCTCTGATGGAATGACAAGTCTGTTGGAGCTGTAAGTTATTCAGACGGCTTTGCTAAAACTCTCCAGTCTGTTGCTTCACAAACAACACACGATGCAAGTTATGTCTTCAAATTTACTCAGTATACAAGTGCTAACCACAGATTTCTCTCCAGGTGCAGAGCGAACTGTAGCAAGTCTGTAAGTCTTTATTTAGCACTTTCCAAAACTTAGTTACACTTAAACAGGACTGGGCAATTCTTTTGATGAAAACTTTTTTTAAAAGTATACATTTTGTTACATCTACAAATACAAACAAGTGCAAAACGAAAGAAAAATACTAGGAAGTGGCAGTTATAAGTACATTTATCACCTTAAACTAAAGGATTGTTCATATTTGAGTTTACATGCTGTATAGACTCCACGATGCGTGATGCAAACGATTTCAACAGGCTTGACCTCCAAAACTAAGCAATAAATAAAGAGAAAAAAAGAATGAGATGGTAATTTCAATGTTTAAAATGTTAAAACAACGAATTGTAAACTTATGTAATTTGCTAATTTACAGTTTACGTGCAGTTTGCATATTTTACGAGGTTCGTTTATTGAATCTATAAATGTCTCATTGTGCCATTTTTTCAGCTGGACAGAAAACTCGCAAAAAGAGATGCCCCTACTCCAAGTACCAAATCAGGGAACTGGAAAGAGAATTTTTCTTCAGTGTTTACATCAACAAAGAGAAACGGCTGCAGCTCTCCAGGATGCTCAACCTCACCGACCGCCAAGTCAAGATCTGGTTTCAGAACAGGAGAATGAAAGAAAAGAAGTTAAACAGGGACCGCTTACAGTACTATTCTACGAACCCTTTGCTGTAGGGGCCCTAGACTCGTCCGTCCGTGAGAAGAACCCAGGCATGGTTAATTTCAAGTTCGCCGGTGCAAATCACATTCCCGGAGCGAGAGCGGATCTGAAGCCCCTTTCATCTCACAGATTTCTTCAACAAACCTCAGTTTCACCATGTATATTCTATTATTATTATTGTTGTTATTATTATAATTATTATTATTATTATTATTGCATCGTCAATCAATCTCAGATTAATGTTACAGGGTTTTTATTTTTTCTTTTGTTTTTTTTTGGTGTTGTGATCTTGTTTTTTGACCAAGGCGTGTACGTTATGCATATTTATAAATGTGGCAATATATCTGAAGGCCTGCTCTTTAAAACTGTGTTAAATCTTTGTGGAGAAGGGCAATAATTACATCACCAAAAAGTGTTATTTAGTCTCATTTATCTTCTTCTTTTTTGCCATTGTATCGGTTGCATTTGTTTAAATAATGCACGCACAATTAATGAGAAACCTATAAGCAATATTTGTTTGTTTTTTTTTCGAGAAGGGACTGGACTTTATCAGCGTTTGGGTAAGATTTTACTTGAATTTTCTGTGTGTTTTTTCTACGAAAGGCTTTCACAGAGAGGCCTAATGATGGGTGTTGTTCGGTGTTGGGGTTTGTTTCTGACTTAAAAGCAATAGCCAAGCGGACACCGCTTAAGACATTACCCGAATCCTCAGATCCTAACGGCCTATCTCTGAACTGCCATATCCCTTCTCATTTTTCCAAACATGTGACGCGTAATGCAGGAACATTTGGTGTGTGTGGCTCTGAAGGACGTTGACATCTCGTTGTATAAATCGACCTCTTAAAAAACCCTGTTTTTCTCTTTTTTTTTTCCTTCTCTCTCCCCTTATGTAGGATCAGATGTTTGATGGATATTTTTTATTGCCCGGCGAGAGTTTAAATTGATTCGGGGATCAGATAGCTGCCATCATTAATGCCTCGTATCCATTACGGAACTGCCCAAAACATGGCGATGGATGGCCCAGTGAATCAAATGGGCTCTTAAAAACACTTGCTCCAGTTTCCACCTCCCAGATAACTTAATGCAGGGTTGACAGCGCTTTCAAAGCTCTAATGTTCATCGTGAAATCTAAGAAATCTATGAAATCTAGGAAAAGATATTTATCTGCAACTGGTTTTCCACTGTAGCCTCAAAACAACGTTTTACAGTTTCACTGTATCCCGGTATCAAAGAGACGATCCGTGGCGAGAGGGGTCAGAACCCCACTAAAGGCTCTCAGGTCTAATAAATAAAGGCAACCACGAGTTTAATAAGGGCTGCTTTTTACTCCATCGCCCTGCGTTGCGCATCCTTTTGAGGCTCTGCGGAATTTCCGAGCTCATTGCGGCACACACACGCACCCCAACCCCCACCAGCTCTGCTGTAGCAGCCCGGCCATAAAACCCGACTTAGTCTGGAGCATTTGTACAATTGGAGTGCGGGTGCAATAAACTGTCTGAGAACCAAGGTTATTAACTGTGACTAAGAGCTTGAAAACGGCGACTGGAATCACTGAAAGCTTGTTGTTCTCTGACTTTTCCGGCATTTGTCTCAGCGCCGACTGCTCGGCTGGACGGCTTAGAAGTTCTGACAAGTGACGCTTCCTCCACACGGTGGCGCCCTTCAGATCAATGTCATTGCCGTGGATTTAAGAAAAAAAAACATACCGCCAAATGCAATCCGCGTTGCGTTCCGGAGAGGGACCGTGTCCTCGTGATACTAAAAGGCCTTTCAGGTAAATATCCAATCGTTGTTCAGCTATAAGATCTTCATCTGTTACGTCCATTCATGATCGCTTTGCCTACATAATGATGTTTCTCAGTCGGAGTCTTATCTGTTGAGTTGTGGCTCATTATGTTGTACAATGCGGCCTACAAATAATGTGGAACGTTTGCAATATAATGAGTTGTATTCTTACTTTAAAAAATCTGGTTAATTCTCTTTAGCTGAGAGGATAATCTCGCAAGCCCTGTAAGGATGCCAACAAGCATACACTGGATTCTTAGAAGCAAAATCTAAAACTTTTTTTTTCATTTGCGAGTTTACTAAAAAAAAAACAAAAAAACATTTTCCATTAATTCAAGACGGAACGCCACTGCGCTCTGAACACGCAAAAATAATCCGCGCCTGAGTCGAAGACGGGTAGAGAGAGAAATGAAGGAAAAGAGTGTTAGCTGTCAAGTGAAAAATCAAATCTTCTGGTGATTATCAGAGAATCCCTCATTGCGGCCGAATGGACGAGCTGGGGGCGAAAACAGACCCTTATTAAAATGTAATAATACATTAGCGCAGATTCTCACAGCTGATTTCTTTAACCAAATGATATTAGCCCTCTTTTTGAAATATAGATGCAACAGCATGCGGAATACACCCCCCGCCAGTTTTCCTATAGGAAATTATCGTAATACTTGCGAAAAAAAAGGTTTTTTATAACGGAGTTTATATAGGAGTACAATCTTCTGTTCAGCACTCGGAAATGAAACAAAGAGTATAGCATTAATATATTAAAATATTAATATATGAAATGATTATACACATACACTTAAAATAATGAATTGATTACAATGCACTGATGTGCATATATATATATATATATATATATATATATACATATATATATATATATATATAGATAGATAGATAGATAGAGATAGATAGATAGATAGAGAGAGAGAGAGAGAGAGAGAGAGAGAGAGAGATTTTTAAGCATTTCACTGCAGTGCATACTATTTACGTATTTTACTTTCACACCACAAAGTGATATTCAGAAGTTCTTTTATTCAGATTTTATTCAAATTTACAATAAACCTTCACATATGAATGCAACATCGAACACATGTTGATTTTCTCTAAATGATTTGATCGCCGAATGAACACTCACACAGATACAGACTATAAACGTCCATGTGGTTTTCTGTGAAGTAGAATTCGACACATATTTCACATATTTTGTATCATATATGGATTTTTAAATTATTTTATAGTACACCAGATGGCCGAAAATGTACTTATTTGCATTTATTATTTATTTGTACATCGGACTCCAAGCTGGCCTCACAATGTGAAAATTATTTATTTTCATATAAAAATGCTTTAACAGCATTCAAGCCAAAATAGTATGAATAATGTAAATGGTAAGCGTACAAAGTGCAGCCCCCCTCAGAAATGTGTTAGATGAATATGCTGCTATCATATGGAGGTAAATGCCCAACATGTTTATCAGATTACGTGCTTTACGAATAAAAAAATGTAGCTAAAATGTTTTCTGCAGTTGGAGGCCTTCCTTTATAGCCACAAGTTTGAAACCCTCTACACAAAGTGTAATTTGCTGTTCAATTACGGCCCGCAGTATCATTAGGGTTTACCATTTTAAAAACTAGCTGTCTTTATAGACATACTGCTCTTTATTTTTGTGTGGTTTAAAAGCTTTGGGGACTCCCCGCCTGACCTGACATAGCAGTGACAAGAAAAGTGATGAAAATCTCTTTGAGCTCTCAGTGTAATAAAGAAAAGTGATAATAAAATGAAAAACGGATGCAGTTTAAACTTATTTTGCCTTCTTTTAAACAATCTGGTAGCCAGAAATGGACATGGGCACACAGCGGTTACGTGCGAGCAATGGGAGGAGTCTCCGGCCTGGTTGTGTTTTAATTGGCTGTTAGCTCGCCCTGAGTTGTACGGTTATCAGTAATTATATTCAGCATGTTTTGCACAAGAAATGTCATCCAGAAAGGGCTATCTTCTTCGCCCGTCAAATTACACCACGAAGATGTCATGCTCCGATAGCCCATCTGGACATTCATTCCTGGTGGACTCGCTGATCAATGGTAGGGCCGAGAGTAGTGCTCACTACTACCAAAGCAGTGGGGTGTACTTGCCCCCCAGCTCCGAATATTCCTATGGACTGTCTAATTGTGGCTATTTTCCCGGACTCAAACGAAACGAGAGCCAAAACATGGTCCCTACGTCCAGCCCGTACGTGCAGGGCATGGAGTCCTGGCTGGAGACCTCAAGATCGTGTCGCGTCGAGCAGCCCGGCCACCAAATTGGCCCCAGGTCCTTCTCCCCGGCCATAAAAGAGGAGAACTCATACTGTTTGTACGAGTCGGAGAAAGCTCAAAAGGACACGGTAACGGAGGACATCTCGTACTCGAGGCTCACGCCGAACTCGTGCACGGCTGGTAACGACGGCAGTGTCCCCGTGCCCGGCTACTTCCGACTGTCTCAGGCGTACTCAGCTGCTAAAGGTTATCCCAGCGACGACCGGCCCGATTCGGTCCAGTTCGCTGTGGCCCGGCTGGACGCTGCGAACGCGGCCATCCCCGCGGAGGCGCGCGTAGTAGAGAGCCGAGAGCAGCCCGTCTGCACGCCGTGCGCCCCGGTAATAGAGAAGGAGAGCCGGAGGTCGCCGAGCGGCCCCGCTTCATCCCCAGAACCTCCGGAGAGCGGCGCGGACAGCCCGGAGAAAGCGAATAAAGGTTAGTGTCGTTACGACTATTTTAATTACCGGTTCTGTTTGCAGACGATTGCTGGATAAAACCGGACTTTCCTTTAGGCTAGGATAATCTATCTGGATGGAATTTCCACCGCTCCCTCTGTAGTGTTTTAGTGTTAGCTGCAGTTAGCCTGCTTGACTGTACAATCCCGGGGCGAGCTTACTCTTGCCGGTTTTATTATTATATGACGAGGGATAGCACGCCCAATCCAATTCTTCACTGCAATGTTTGAAGTCATCCTGTAAACCTTTACGGCCGGAGGCTAACCTGATCCTGCCATAAAGAGGAAAGGTGCGTGCTATCACGCTTTTGATCACGAACTAAGAATTTCCTGAACTGTCACACACTGCACTGCATTATTAAGGACTGTATTGACTCTCACTATTAGCTTTTGCTCATTTGAACTAGCGAGTGAAGCTGTGCTGTTGGGGAATGTGTTAGTATAGTAGCCTATAGGCTACAGAAATCATTTACATGCAATGCAAAACATAGCATTGGCTGAGAATCAGCAACAACGTATGATTATCACTTTTTTACAATCACTAGTTATGGTTCTGGAAAGCAAATACATCTTTTTACTCTACTGAAAAACTGAACTGAAATAAAGCCAGTTTACTGACTTATTCATGAATTACTCATTGTGTTTCTTTGTAAGAACTGTGGCTATTGAAACAGCCTTGTGCTTGGCAATGAAATCCCTAAGACGCATTCCTCTTTGAAACCGTGCTATTGTTACTTAATAGATAACAATGCTAAATGGTTAAATGTGGTTTGAACTACTGGACTCACGCTTCCTCCACTTTTTTTTTTACAGAAGAATCCAAAAGTGAGAACACGGCAAACTGGTTGACTGCAAAGAGTGGTCGGAAGAAGCGCTGTCCCTACACCAAACACCAGACCCTGGAGCTGGAGAAAGAGTTCCTCTTCAACATGTACCTGACTCGGGAGCGTCGTCTGGAGATCAGCCGCAGCGTTCACTTAACGGACAGACAAGTGAAAATCTGGTTTCAGAACCGCCGCATGAAGCTAAAGAAAATGACTCGGGAAAACCGCATTCGAGAGCTGTCGGCGAACTTCAGCTTTTCGTGAAGGCCTCTTGGAGATCTTTGGCGCCCTCCAACCACTTGAAGGGGTACCAAATGCAAACCGTGCATATTTCACTTGTGCAGGATACTATTGATAAGTTATTGTGTCGTTGGAGATTTTTATCCGTCAGTGAATCAACTTTTATTTCACCTTACATTTTTTTCTTCGTGGTAACAGGTCATTATTTATAAAATGCCGATTGGACTTTTGCCGTAGTCAACGTCAAGCGTAAAAAATGTTGACAATTGTAAATAAGCAGACGGTGGTATATATTAACTGTACATATTTGCAATATTTGCATGATGTAATATTAATTACATTTACAATCAGCAATTAAAAATGCGAAAGTGTTATGTCCCTGTTAAAAAACATTCGCTCAGGCTTTTTGTTTTGCTTTGGTGGTCGCGGTGGTGGTAAAAAAAGAGGGAATTCTTATAAAAGAAAAGAAAAGAATAGAAAACAAAAAAAACTAGATTTGTATTTGTAGCCAGTTTACAATTATAAGCACGAGACGGGTCCCTCTCATTTTATGCTTTTATAGCGTTGTAATATAAGTTAGACAGACAGTGCAGCAGATGGAGCGCTGGAATGAACTGTGAATGAATCATTAATTTAAGGATAAAACAGAATATATGCATTTAAACTGCGGACTGGATCATTTACAACTATAAACTGCGTGGATCATTTACAACTATATGTGCATATATATATATATATATATATATACACGCAGTTTAAAGACCACAAAGCCCCCCTGTCTTTTTTTTCGAGAAATAGACTTCTCGGTCCACACAGACAGTATGGGTGCAATATGCTGATTTTCAAATGATCTAATTTGCTTCCAAAGACCTGTTGCAAATTTTGCAAATCTTTAAAAAATAAACAGCTCTCACTATACAGATTGACTGGAATAGTAATGTTACCGCATTCTCTCAGTCTGCTGGTACTTTAGATGAAATACTCTGTTGTATGAAAACTCTGTGCATTCTGCTGAAATGAGTATATATTTGAAAACAGCTTAAAAACTTGTTTATACGTTGATAAAAGCGAAGGCGTTTTCAGCTGTCTGTGAAATGTGTGTCTGGAGAAAAAAATAAATAGAATTCCAATTTTTTGGACGCTGATTTTTTTTTATTTTATTTAGTTTTGTTTTTCTCTTGTTTAGCTCTGAAGGAAGAGAGAGGACTGCTGAGTGATTTAGGTAGTTTTATGTTGTTGGGCTCTGTTTTGTACCCCCCGCAACACGAAACTGTCTGAATTGCCTCGCAGTGAATTTCGACTCGACATCGACCTCATCAACAACAGAACTGGAAATAACGCAGTCAGTCTTAACTGTCGTCTTTTTGAGGTTTTAAATTAATTTAGTAAATTCAACAGCGCGACGCGCCATTATACACTGAATTATCTCAGTACGCTGTGTTGTAGGTGTTCGCTCATCACAGTTGAGCGCAATTTGGCGATTCCAATTACTAGAATAGACTGATGCTAATTTTGTTTAGTGCCGGCCTTAGCTGAGAACTTTATAGGGGGGTCCGTGTATAAACACTGGCGGAGAGGAAGAGAAAGGGAAACGCTTTGATTGGATGTGCCGTGGATGGAGCTAAGCCATCGCAAGGCCTCGGTTACGATCAAAGCACTTTGGCCAAAGCCGTGTGCGCGCTGCAGGCCTGTATAGAGCCCACACCGCCCGGATGTTTCTACCTCTCTGGAGGAGCAACACAAAAGCTTTATTGGTGATATTCAGTCCAGACAGCCGAGCAATAACCTGCAGGAAAACAGCCTAATAGCCCTCTTATAAACGCAGCCTGCTATAGCACTCAGCAGTCCGCACTCTCAACAGGACAAGGTTAGAAAGAAAAAAGTCGCTGGAGCCAAAAAAGGACGAAGATCTGATTATATGCAGTTTTAGTTTAGATTGTTGTAGATCTGATTATATGCAGTTTTAGTTTAGATTGTTGTAGATCTGATTATATGCAGTTTTAGTTTTGCCTATTGTAGATAATCTATACATGGAAGACCATCTAAAAGGTAATTTATTTATAATTACATTCTTTAATTTATGCTGTATTTACCTCCTTATTATTTAATTATGTTTGGTGCTTTGATATAGTGGTATATATTAGTGTTAGCTATATATATACATAAATATATTAGCTATATATATACATAAATATATATATATATATATATATATATATATATATATATATATATATATATATATATATAATACATATATATATATACATATATATATATATATATATATATATATATATATATATATATATATATATCACTGTGTAAAAGCAGCAACACTTATTTATATGTGTAAAATATCAATATTGACATATCAATAACGTTTTTAAAACAAAAACATTTACTGTATTTATGTTTATTTGTATTTAATACATCGTTAAATTAAATACAAATAATAATAAATACAGTAAACGTTTTTTTTTGTTTTGTTTTGTTTAGTTTATACGCTTCCTAACTTCTCTCTGCACTCCAGCCATTGCACAGATTTGGAAACAGTTAAGCTAAAACACTGACAAACATCCGAATTATATACAAGTACAGATTATATTGTGTATTAGTTTGTTTTATATTTACTAAAAAGTTAGTGTTTTTCGAACAAGTAAATGCTTCCTAGACAGATAAATACGTTTACATCCCATGTTTTTCAGGTGACTACACCATTTGCCCTGTAGAGATATTATTAATACTTCAATTACTTTATTGTGTCTTCTATAACAATTTGAATCTCATGGTTTGCAATGGAGCTCGAGTCCTGAGCCAGGTTACCCAAAAGATTCATAGATAATCTTAAACGGAATAGCGAGTGTTCATGATTGTCTGTCTGCTCTGATGCTTTTAAGAAATCCACAAAAAGAAAATAAAATAAAAGAAATGCTTGCTCTCACGTCTCACGAAGATCTTTACGCAGTTTGTTTTCAAGAACCTCTCCATTGTGCAGCAACATTAGAGGAAGAGACAGCTCGCTTATTCTGATATCATAACAATGAGTATCGATTAAAGTTATGATGGTATTGCAGTTTCTTTCTCTCTATCTGTTCTTGTGTGGGCTGCTGCTGCATCGCCTCCAGTTTCCTACAGTAACATTAGCTTATTAGGCTAATAGTTGCTATCAATGACACTTCACAATCTGCTGGTTCATTCTGAAACATACACCATGAAAACAAAAGCTGAAACTACACTCTGATACCTGAGAGGTTCAAACAAGTTGGTAATCATTTGAACCTCTCTTAAAAATGATACATTAGAGGCTTGTTTTAATTTACTTTAAATGCAGTACAGCAGCAGCACACACCTCTGGAAACGCTACTGAATGACTGGTCCCTGCTAGTAGATCATATCTCAACTATTCCATGGCACTTATTGCCGTATAAAGCTTACATATGGCTCACGTAACGATTGACTTTATTTCTTAAACATGTCTGTAATATTTTATGTCACCTCGCGCCTGCTATAAACATTATGCGTTGGCCACATGCAACGAGTAACGCCTGCAAGATCCTGCATTTCTTGGAGTCTGTTATTATGTTATTATCTTTATCTATGCAGACTTAACCTTTAGATTAAAGAATAAGCTTTAAATATTTGTTAGTCCAGTCTTGATTTCATGGAGATGTTGGTGCACACATAATATCAGGGTTTATCAAACACAGGGCCGCTTTTTTCTACCTCACGAAGAGGAATGAACTTAATTGCGAGGATAAAATCATAGCCTCGTTCGTAAAAGCATACGGTTCTTCCATTAACAGTTTTACTGCAAAATGGAGGCTATGTCACTGCGTGCCCCTTTATTGTTCTCTCCCATGGTCACGTGTCTGCGTCCTCCAATCCAGTCTCGGCCACGGTTCAACTTATCCCAGGTCTGTAGTTCACCGCGAAGTCAAGGAGTTACTACAATTGCACATTTGCACTGATTCTGCGTTTGTGGCCATTTGGTGGTGGGAGCGCACGCCAGGGTCGCGCCCAGTGCCTGCTGTTTTGTGATGTCCACGCTGGGCACTCTGGCGTATTACGCTGACTCGCACATTCCACATGAGGATGACGACGAGGAGGATCATCATCACCATCATCATCCCCTGGCTGCGAGCTTCTCGGCAGCGCCGGCGCTCCAGCACGCGCGAGAGCTGACGCTGTGCGACTATGGCGAGCAGGAGTCCTACCCTTTCCAGGCCAGGTCGGCTATTTTCGGCGCCTCGTGGAGTCCCGTCTCCGTGCAGCCGCCGGGTAGCGCGTCCGTCGCTTACCAGCCTTACGTGCACCCCGCGTGCCCCACGGCGGAACCGGAGGCGGCGTGCGCGCGCCCCTGGGCGCCCGAGCCGCTGTCTGCCTCCCTGCCGTTCGCGGGGCTTCCCACGGATACGCAGCACGAGATCAAGCTGGAGCCGCTGCTCCGGCCCGGGGAGTGCACGGCGCTCGGGGGCGCTGAGGCGGAGCAGCACGACGCGACCCTCGCAGTAAAGAAGGTGTCCGGCCAGGCGGATCCTGCCCAGCCGAACGACGAGAAAACGTCAACAGATGCCAAACCAGAGCTGGACCCAAGTAAGTGCGGCTCTGTTTGTTGCAGCATATTCCGGACTGTTATTTTTACGCAAACGACGTAGGCCTTAGTTTATTCAAAGACCAGAACGGGTGAAAAAGCATTTCAAATAAATAAATAATTATATAAATAAAAACAGAGAGCTATCTGGGTTATTAATTATAAAAAAAAATCTGATTTTTTCAGATAATTCGAAGTAAAATTGTTATAATTTCTTCGTTCACTCCTGAATTCTTGGGTCAAAATGTGCATCGAATCATGTTCTCCAATTAGTATTTCCTTTCGCGCTTCGTTAAATTTATTTTTGGATTTGGAGTTAACAGGGTGATCTATATGTATTTTAATCCAGACAATTAGAAAAAACATAAAAAACATAGTGTGTTGTTTGTCACAGTTTAGCTGCAGCACCGACTGGCTGATATTTTCGTATAAAGCCTCTCGACTGTGTCCTCTTATGACGCAAAAAGATCAAATATAAAGGCCTTATAAATAACAATAACACACACATGGACACACTGGACCGCCTGAGAGAATTAAATGCTCATAAGCCCCTGTTTTCGCATCTTGTAGATAGTGAGAAAAAAGGCGATCTGTTTGCTCATGTAACACTGACAATATGTGCTTTACGCACAAATTTCATAGTCTGAAAATAATGTAAAAACTGCATTGAAGTTGATAAGACGTTTGTTTGGCTGCACATATTTTTCCTTTCCGGCCTACAGCCCAGCCGCAGTCCAACCATCATAAAATGGTCATAAAATGGCCGCAGTGTGTAATCCTCAGGGCAATATGACTAGCCTCTGTCTCTCCCTTTTCGACCCCTTTTGCAGATAACCCCGCGTCCAACTGGCTACACGCGAAGTCCGGCCGAAAAAAACGCTGCCCTTATACTAAGCACCAGACTCTCGAGCTGGAAAAGGAGTTTCTCTTTAACATGTACCTGTCCCGCGACCGTAGATACGAAGTGGCAAGGCTTCTAAATCTCACCGAGAGACAAGTCAAAATTTGGTTCCAAAACCGTAGGATGAAGATGAAGAAGTGCAACAAAAATCGACCAAAAGACAGCTGCGAATAGGATAAGTGCACTGCAGTGGTCTGAACCGCTTTTCTTTCCTGCGCACACGGACTTACGCATCTGCTTTCACGTAAAGCAATGACAGCAACAACAACAAGAACAAAAACAGAACAATTTCCTCAGCACAGTCTCTCGGACTGAGAATGTGCCTGTGTAATAACAAGAATAGAATAATAATATTAGTGGCGTCTTTGTGTTAGACTGTTTGTCAGTCCTCCTGTCTTGTGTTTGCTTGTTGTTTAGGTCTAAATATTTACTTTTTTGTGTACATTTTGAGCCTTTTTTCAGTTCTGGGGGAATTTTCCACGTAGGCTACTGATTTCAGGGATCTGTACTGAAATACTCGATGTTATAGGCTAGCTAGTGTTTGGTTTGCATGAGTGTCAGCTCACGATATCGATGTTTTATGTAACTACCTAGATGTATTTAAACTACCTATTTGCATTATGAATATTCGTGTTTTGTCGTAAAGACATCAGTGAATTTTGTATCGTAAACATGCTTGAATTTGTTATGTTTTGTTTTGTGAATAAGAGAAAACAAGAAAAAGCCTGTACGACAAATACCTCAAATGATCAGATCAGCCATTTCCCAATGAGAGATCATCTGTGTAGATGACAAAAATAAAAGTTGTGAAAATGTGAGATTTGTTATTGTTGCATTCCTGATTGCTAACAGTAGACTTGTATAGAGGTTCAGTGCACCACACTGATATTTCTGTTCATTTGCCAGATTAAATCTTCAGATTTCCATTGTGTTTATATCTATAGCGCAGGTTCTCACGTTTGTTTTACACTATTCCAGTGTTGTGATTAATAATAGCAAAGATAGACGTTCTTTCAGAAAAACTGCACGTTTATCTTGAGGTCGAGGCCTTCAGGGAGAAAACAAAGTGTGCTGGGAATAAGAGTTCAGACTCTGTGTCTGTCCACCGTTGAGTCTTCTTCTCCAGCTCTTCCTCCGGCCTGCACAGTGTCCCGTTAACTGCCTGCATAAATAAGCTGGAGTGCGCTGCTTGTGGACGGGCCTGTGCGTGTTATATGTACGCGCCCTCGCAAATGATATTGGTGACCATACGGCAATAAACCACAATCATAGTCTTAACTGTTTATGGGGTGCAAAGCGATTGAGGGTCGACCTGTTGGGACTTTTTTTTTGACGCCACCCTCCCTTATCAACATCAGTATAATAACACGGGCTTCTCCGTGTGACAAACATAGGAGGAGGGCAATTACAGGAACACTGGTCTACCGCATACGCCATAAAACTTTAATACACAAAACATGCACGAACACATACACACGCGCGAGCTTCTTGCTTTTGTATTTTTATCTTTGTGGGGTTACTGTATGGAAGTGCTGCTATGCCTGAACCAGGATC